AGACTCTCCCGGAGGTGTGTTAGCCCCAGGGCTGGGTCCTGCTCCCTGACTGGTTTGCAGGTCTGAGAATTGGCACTTTAACTCCTTCCAGCTGATTTGGGGGCACAACTGATGACCAGTGGTTCATCAGAAGTCGAGGAAGCAGTCTGTCCCTGGTCAAGTATTTATTCCAGTTATCACTGAGTTACCTTAAGCCTATACAGCTATGGAAGAGATGTCTTAAGCTTCCACATTTTGAAAACTATTCCCTTGAAATTCATCAAAAAATTTTTAAATTTGCATTTTTTTCCCTAGTGGGCATTTGTATACTAGATGGAAACGTAAAGATTTCAGGCCAGTCTCTTAAAACACTCTTATTCTGTAAGAACAGTGGGCACGCTGTGGTTCCATTTCCTTCATTACAAATTGAAATGCCACCTGAGAATTTTAGCAGATGCATCAGATTCTCTCTCTGATTAGCCATGCCGTTCCTCCACTTGGTCACAGAGCTGCTAACTGCAGAACCCAGGAACAGGAGCGTCAGCCTGTCCCACCCCAAAGCACAAGACACGAGGCTAGAGCCATAGGTTTTCCTTTGCTTGAAAGCTGCCATAAATCCCTGGTCTGGTGTCAGTGCCCAGGCTGCAAACCCAGGCCTGATTTCTAAGAGGAGCCTTTCTGCAGGGTTTTCTGAGCAAAACAGGTGTCCGATGAAAGGTGTGTAATCCTCAAAGACTACCTTACACCCAGAGCAGCCAGTGACCCGACTCACTTAATCTAGACAGATGGGAACTGGCAGTAGCTTGGCTAATGTTTATACTTCTGAGTTTGAGGAAATGCATATGGTTTGGGTCCTGGTGCGCCAAGGCTGCCTTGGTTTTTTGTCTGGGCCCAGCATTGCTTAGGGCTCACTCCTAGCTCTCAAGAGACCATATCTAGTGCCCAGGATTGAACGCAGGTCAGCCGCGTGGAAGGCAAGTGCCCTGCCGACTGTACTGAGGTTTGGCCTCCTCAGGCACATCCAGACCCTTACAGAGTGTTATTTCACATCTGGTCCAATCTTAGACTTGAAATATTACTGGCTTAAAAGGTAGAAACATTTCCTATTAAATGAGAGTTAACCTGGCAAATAACTTTCTGGGAGTTCAAGTAATTTGGGGATTACGGTCTGCAAAAACAAACTTGAACTTTCCTACATACTTCTCTGTCCTAGTGGATCTAGCTACACCACGCAACACCTCTGTATTTTTCTTTGCCTTGAGGGAGAGATTTCAGACACAAGGGATTAGCAGTAGTTAGCATGAAAGCGGATAGTCTCACTGCAAATCTGTCAGCCTTAGGAGAGGGGAGGTAAATTTGGGTCCCGTGCAGGACAGCTTGCTTAGAGATGCTTGCTTGTGGAGACAGCGCATTTTTCTTCCTTGCTCTGTAAGCAGGCACCCTGGAACCGTTTCAAATCCGAAGGGTGGTTACCTGTGCACCGACTCCAGTTCATCTTTCCAGGATGAGCAGGCCCCAGGCAGCTCAGCAGGAGGTTGGTCAGTGTGAGTGAGGGGTACAGGGCCCTGTCAGCTCTGAGCACAAGTGAAAAGCGCTGCTCACCAGACAACTGAAAGGGAACCGTTTTCACCAGCAGCTAATTATACTGCAGCTTCTGGGACTTGGCCTCCAAACACCACTTGCTTTCCATCGGAGCAGCCAGGCTTCCCCAGGGATAGTTCAGGTTTTCAGATTGAAAGTATCTTGAGTTAAGGAGAGATGTTTGAGCACCTCGGGAGCCCATCCACTGGGAGGTATTGTACTTCTTTCAGATGCTTCAAGATAATGCACCAGCTTCCCAGATGATGCTTTTTATTTCCCCGCATCCTAGATCTGTTAGTTGGGATCTTCTGGGTAAGTTAAGAGCCGCAACCCCATCTCTGTAACGACTCGATAAATAAAATGTTCTTACCGAACATGTCAGTGGACTATACAGAAATTACACTTTGAGAAGTCTAGAAAATGTAACAGGAAACAAAAGTTGGCAAGAAACAAATTCTCTAGAACATTCAATGTTCTGAAAGGTCTGGAGCAGCAACATGCCTGCTGCTGGTGGAACAAAAATTGTGTGTGACACCAGCCTGGTGCCCAAATGGAGTCAAGAATGACAGGATTGTTTTCCTTCTAAGCTAGAAATCAACATCACAGAAATGATTTCCACTGAGAAACGAGTGATTTAACTTTGATCGTTTCGATGGTCCAAATGGATTCCCTCTACACCAAAAACGTCTCCTTTTGGTAGAGACCTTGTGGATCTGAGCACGAAGCTCTCTGAGGGGCTTCTGGGTCCAGGAGAAGAACAAGCTCCCAGTCTGCACACAGAGGCAGCCCGGGGGTTCGACTGGGGTGTGTCGCCCGGAACCCTGCTTCAGCTTGGAGTTTTGGTTTGAGCCGCCGGTCAAGCTTCTCTGTTGAGTTGCTGACCGCTTTGCTGTGCAGCTTCCCTGGCAGAGGCAGCGAGCAAAGGTGTGGCCAGGGAAGGCCGGTGGGCTCCTGTGCCCCACAGCTGCGCTCTGTCAGGCAGAGCCTGCAGATGCTGCAAGCCTGTGCCCAGACCTTCCCCACAGAACCCAAGTTGCCTCATGGCCTGGCCCAGTGTTTGTCCTCTGTGGCCCCCACTGAGATATTCCAGAGCGGCCACCAGTTGAAAATCATGGAGATGTGGGGCTGAAGCCACAGAACATCGGGCAGGGCATTTGCCTTGCATGTAGCTGACCTGGGTGCAATCCCTGTAGGCCCCCAAGCCTATCAGGAGTGATCCCTGAGCCAGGAGCAGAGCCCTGAGTAAGAGCCAGGAGTAAGCCCTGAGCACTGCAAGGTGTGGCTCCAAAATAAACAGAATCGTGAAAATTGGGGTGTGGGTGGGGTAGGCGGTGGGACATTGTGTGCGTGGGCTGGGGAGAGGTGCAGGAAGGGATTCTGGCTGAGAAACGCTGGCCTAGCCAGCTTAGGGCCAGGCCCCGTGAAGTGTATCTGCATAGTCTCAGGGTGTGAAAACAGCAGCAGCCATGTAAAATATGTTGCAGTGGGGCTGGGGGTAGATTCTGGGTGCTTCCTCTGAGCTCGGAGGATGGGGATTATGGGAAGAGAGGACAGAACAAAGAAGTCGACGTGCTTCCTGGGGAAGGTTGTCGCCGCAGTGGGGAGAGGAGGCAGAGCGCTCCCGCCTTCTGAGGACTTCGGCAGTGCAGAAATCTTTATGCTAGACTGAGGGGGGCTTTCTCTCCCCAACGTGGGGTTCCAAACCCCACAGAGAACCAGTTAAAAACAGGGGCAAGGGAGTCTCGCAATCACGGCAGGACCTTTAATTGTGGGATCTGTCGGACAAAGGGCAGATCGCTTTATACCCACGGAACTAAGGTTCTCTCTCCCCTCGGAATAACAGCCGAGCCTCCAGCCGACTGAGTAAATTTCTCAGCATGTGCCAAGCACTTAGGAGGCAGGTGACGGATGTACCAATTATCTGCATTCTGAGATGTGGGCACCCTTTGTGCTCTGGCGACAGAGAGCTCCTCTGCATACTGCCAGGGCACGGTCTGGGCTGGATTCCGCACAGTGGCCATGCCTGTTAGCATGCTTGACACCGTGTTTGTGAAAGCTGCTGCATGCAGCTGAGTGACGTGTTGGCAGTGGTTTGACTGTAAAATCTTGCGATGCTTGTTTGCATCCTGGCGAACACTTTGTATTTACACGTGAGTTAAAGAGACAAATAAGTCAAAAGAACCCCAGCCAACGCAAAATATATGCCTATTGTTAACAGTGACATTCAGATTAAAGCCATCACCATGCAGAATACCCCCCTCTCTGGAGGGTTCAAGTTGGATTTCTTGCTCTCTATGTTTCTACACTATGTACAGTGGTTTTTGAGAGGCAGTAAAATGTCCTAGTCATTGAGTTCTCCTTGTGACAACAACAACAAAAAAGAAGAAATTGAGAAAATTCTTGAGAATGCAGCCATTTTGGAAATGTAGATAAAGAAGAAAATGCTGAAGATTTGGGTGGCTTAAGAGCATGATTTTGTAATTGCTGCCACCTACTGTATGTGGTTGATGCTTCTTTAAATTTAAGGAACTTCACAAAGGTGAGGCTGTGAAACAGACCATGAGAGCAAGGTAGACATCATTTGCTTATCGCATTTCTTCCCTCCTTCATAAGTAGCTCTTAATTACCGAGACGGCAGCTAGCTTTCATTCATCACTTTCAAGTGGATTTAAAGTTTGTCTCATGTTAAAGTTGCCACGAAGCCTTCGCAGTCAGGTGACAGAGTGCGTGTTCAGGAGTTCCCCGTGCCCGGGACTGCCTGATTCTCCGTGAAACAGTTTGTTTTAAGGAGGTGGTTCTCTTTTCATTCGTAGGAGTAAAAGTCTCAGGTTGGAGTATAAAATTTATTTTCATGAAAGAGGTGAAAAATAGAGCTGGTGGGGGTGCCGTGCATTGCAGAGGCTGACTTAAAAGGCTTTTTTTTTTTTTTCATTAGTTCTCAAACAAAGCTTTAGATCCACCGCTAGTTAAATGTAACCAGCAGCAATAGAATCTGTGTCCACATAGTCCCTTTCTTTTATGAAGGCCCAGCTGTCAAAGGGTCATTAGGTCCTTCCTGTGGAAAATGACTTGCCCATTAATGTCTGGGGTGGTCCCTCGACAGGACTTCTGAGGAAGTGCCTGACATTTAGTGTCAGAAAGACCCTAGAGCTGGAGGGGGACCGGGACATTGAGCCCGTTGGAAGCAGTGCGAGCGCCGCCGTGCTGTGTGCTGCAGTGCATGTCTGAGCTCTGTGAAGAGACTTACACTATCCCTGTACAAGATTCAGAAGCCTAAACTCCGCAGAAACCAAACTGCTGGCAAGAGATTAACATGAACGCAAAACAAACACCCTTCTCTCATGCGCTGCTTTCACCTGGTTGCGACTTCTGTTGACTCAGTGGCCACGCCCGTTCCCTGGAGGCACCACAGTCAGCTCTTCCTTACTCTCCTGCCCTAGGCTACCTGCTGTCCAGACGGGAAGGCCAAGCCGGCTCTCCGGAAAAGCCACTCTCCGACCTGGGCCGGCTCTCCTACCTGGCCTACTGGAAGAGTGTCATCTTGGAGTATCTCTCCCACCACCACCACGACAGACACATCAGTATCAAGGCCATCAGCAGAGCCACGGGCATGTGCCCCCACGACATCGCCACGACTCTGCAGCATCTCCACATGATCGACAAGAGGGACGGCAGGTGAGTGCTACTGCCCGCGTGGTGCAGCTGCAGGTGTGGCGTTCCGGTCTGAGCCGGCTCGGGCCAGACAGAGAGAGTACTCAGGGCGCTTGCCTTGCACAGCCTGCCCTGAGCTGCTCCCAGCACCACATGATCCCAGCCATCACTAGGTACAACCATGAAGATGCCCGGGGAATCCCCAGCACCAGGCCTCAAACCTTCACACTGAACCTTGTGTGTGTCAAAGTTGTCTGAGAATCACTTGGCAGGAGGTGGGGGTGTGTCGGAGAGAGTAGGCCTTTCAGCCACCACTTGGGAGGATGACCCCCCACCACCACCCCCAAGAAAAAAGATCAGAAGGCTGCCCAGCATGTGTCCAAGCCATGCTCTTAGACCTGGCGAGTGGCCTGGTGGTAGAGCACATGCCTTGCATGTGTGCGGTCCAGGGCTCAGTGTCTGGCAGCAAAAACAAAATACTAGAAATGCTCTCCTAATCAGAAAACACAAAAATGACACGTGTTTGCTGGTCAGATCTCACCTTGTTGCCTTCTGTAAGTGTTCTGATTTCTCCTTACCCAGATTATGTCAGTGCTGGCATCTGTTAGTAGGTGAAGGTGAAATGAAATCTCTTGATTGTACTTTGTTCTGCCTCATCACATTACAGATTTGTCATCATTAGAAGGGAAAGGTTGATATTGGACCACATGGAAAAACTGAAAACCTCTTCTCGGACCAATGAACTTGATCCAGATTGTCTGAGATGGACCCCAATTTTAATTTCTAATGCTGCGGTTTCTGAAGAAGAGCGAGAAGCTGAGAAAGAGGTAATGATTGGCTTCATCAGCCTACGTTGCATAGCTTCAAACTGGTGGCATTCTTCGACGAAGAAAGTCATTAACATCATTGTCAGAAGCTTGGTTATGTAGAGAGGGCCTGGGAAATGACATGGCACTAATTTATCCTAACTGAGGTTGCATTGGTATGACATGATAATTTTATTGAATTGAGTATGAAAAATGAAACATTTATCATTGATCACAAGGTAGCATTTTTCACTAGTGACAGCATGTAATCAGATCAGATTTGGTGTTGAGCTCTGAGGCCACAGTGTCAATCGATTCTTTGTGTTTATGAACTTGCTTAAAGTGCTCCATGCCAGTGAGCATGTAATGTAGTGATAAAGGACTCGAATCAATTCGCTGCATCATTAATACTGCTAAATATCCCATGAAAACCAATCTTCTTTGATTTGTTATCCCAAATGATGCTAAAGAGTCCTGAGGTGATGCAGCTGGATGTCGCTTGGCTGGCTGGCGGTCCTGATCAGAAACAACTTAGAGACCCTCTGCCTTTGCTCTTAGAGGCTCTGGCCACGGAACCCCCTCTCACTGGCCCACAATTTTTTACCCTCCCCCCTTAGGCTGAGCGGCTAATGGAACAAGCTAGCTGCTGGGAAAAGGAGGAGCAAGAAATCCTGTCATCTAGAGCTAGCAGTAGGCAATCACCTGCAAAAGTACAATCGAAAAATAAATATTTACATTCCCCGGAGAGCCGGCCAGTGGCAGGGGAGCGAGGGCAGCTGGCAGAGCTATCTAAAGACAGCAGTGAAGAGGAGGAGGAGGAGGAGGAGGAAGAGGAAGAAGAGGAGGAGGAAGAAGAGGAGGAAGAGGAGGAGGAAGAGGAGGAAGAAGAGGAAGAGGAAGATGAGGAAGAAGAAAACATCCAGAGCTCCCCTCCGAGACTGACTAAACCACAGTCAGTTGCCGTGAAGAGAAAGGTATGTGTCTGGGTTAGTTCCAACCAAATCATATTTGCCATTGCAAATATTTTTTCGTATTTGACTTTTTTATATACAGTTTATTTGTATTCAGTCCCATTGATCATATATAATCATCATTTATCCTATGGTCATGATTGTGCTTCATATTTGAGATTTGTTAGTGCTAGGACAAGACTTGTTAGTTACCGCCACCTGCTGGCGTATGGGACCAGAGTAAATCAGGTGACGGGAACAGAAAAGGACCCTGGAGAGCACCTACACTACACTGCTTGCAGGTCTGGCTACCTGGCCAGGTCAGACAAGGGCACGCCCTCAGACTTGAGCCCTGCTACTCAGATCCGGTTTTTTTTTTTTTCCTGGTTGTCCTCAGCACAGAATTGTTAGAAGGTGTTTGTGGCCACAACAGCTACTGAAATTCCATTTATCTTAGCTCATTGGTTTTTCTAGATTATCCATGTGTAAAGGCTTAAAAACTGACTGTCTTTAGCTCATTATTCAAGCCAGATCTGATAGCTTTATCTTCACTCTTTGAGACATAGAGGTGTACAGAGGAGGGCCAGGTGTTGACTAGTCTGCCCCGACTACTAGGGAGAACACAGTTCCAGCTCTACCCCGCGGCCACGCTAGCGTCTGTAGGAGACTATCAAAGAACCTGATTTTCTTTGGGTAGGCAGGCAACATTTAGTGATGCCCACGGGAACTTGCAGTGCCAGGGACTAAACTAAACCAGGTCAGCCATATGCAGAGGCAAGAACCCTACGCACTGTACTATCTCTCCAGCCCCCTCTCTCTCTCTTTGTTTGGCTTTTTGGGTCATGCCTGGCAATGTTCAGGGGTTACTCCTGGCTCTGCACTCAGAATTACTCCTGGCTGTGCTCAGGGGACCACGTGGGATGGTGGGGATCAAACGTGCAAGACACGTAACCACTGTACGATTGCTCCGGCCTCTCCAACCCCTTCTTTAAATTTAAAAAGAATGTAACATTTTAAACAGTGACCATTTTTTCTCTTCATTTTTGTTGATGTCACATTGATTTGGGGTCTTGATTGCCCAGGTGTGGTGCTCATTTTTTCATTTGGGGTGCTTGCACACACATTTTCCAGGGGCTGCAGTCCTTTAGTTGGGGTGCCGTGTCAGTCTTGGTTGTAGTGCTGGTGATGGGGGAGAGGTGTCACTGTGCTTCCTCACGTGCCTGCCAGGCATCACACTCAATGGCTGTGCCTGCTTCCACGCCTTGGGGAAGGCAGGGCAAACCTAGCATTGCTCAGGAGATCACGAGGTGTAAGGGACCTCACTTGGCTCTCCCCACACCAGCCCTTTGAGTCAAGACCCGGCCTTCCTGTATGTTTTAATTGTGGAGTTTTCCACACCTCACTGTCTGTGGCTGGAAATGGCTTAGAGCACTGAGATCCGAGAAGCAATGCTCCCGGACACATGTGGACAGCAGTGCCCATGCATTCAGCCCAGGAGTGGCTCTGGGAATCAGAGTCGTGGTCTTACCAATGCAAGGCTGGGGCGATAGTACAGCAGGTAGGGCATTTGCCTTGCACTCAGGTTCAAGCCCCGCGTCCCATCTGGTCCCTCCAGGAACCGCCAGGAGTGATTTCTGAGCACAGAGCCAAGAGTCACCCCTGAGCATCGCCCAGGTGTGGCCCCGAAACAAAAAATAACCACTTGGCCCTGTAGTGCAGGTCTGAGGGCTCCATACTCAGCCCAGCCATGCATCGGTGCTCAGGGAAAGAGAGGTACCTGAAATCGGACTCAACGCTTTCACCCCTTTGAACTGTTTTCCTGGGCCTTAATAAAAACTTTTATCTCTTCCCTTTCCATCACTCCTGGAGTCTTACAAAATAGGAAACAAGTGGAATAAGTTGGTCCCTCTTGTATGCTGACATTTCCCATAGTTCTTTGCACACAGTAGGTGTTCCTAGAGTCATCAAGCACTGATTGTCCCAAGCCCTAATTGTTGCGATATTTATAGAAAGATTGTTATACACAGACGTAGTCGCTGTGGTGTATAGGACACTGAATTCAGCAAAGATCACAAGGAAAGCAAAGCTTAGCCTTCAAAACCTATAGCTAAGCTGCCTGCTAGGCTTTTCCTCTCAAAGCATCTGCCTGAGTAAACAACTGTTTTATTTGGAAAACACTTGCCTGTGTTGTTGGAGCCTGAGAGGGATGTTAAACATCAAATGGAAGGTTAAGTACAAAGGCATCACAGAAGTCTCTCTACGTGTACGTTTCTCAAACAATTCAGTGCATGCTTGCTGCATATCGACTCGGCCATTTAATTTCTCATGAGCTGTTACATATGATGTTTGGCATTAATTTCAGAGGCCTTTTGTACTAAAGAAGAAAAGGGGTCGGAAGCGCAGGAGGATTAACAGCAGCGTGACAACAGAGACCATCTCTGAGACGACGGAAGTGCTAAATGAGCCCTTTGACAACTCAGACGAGGAGCGACCGATGCCACAGCTGGAACCTACCTGTGAGATTGCCGGCAAGGAGAACGGCAGGAAGCGCGTCCTGAGAAAGGCATTCCAGCATCAGCCCGGGAAGAAGAGAAAGACAGACGGGGAGGACGGAACAGACAATCATTGCTTTAAGAGCGCTGACCCTTGTAGAAGTAAGTGGAAAAATGATGACGCTCTTGCCCTGGTAGCACGCTTGCCAGAAGCAGCTCCCAGGGCCAGCCCCAGAGGCCTCTTTGGGGTTGCATCTGCCCATCAGAAAAAGTGTTCACACACGTTCTTTCTGAATCATAAAAGATCCTATTCCTGCTTCCGGAATCCGGTTTATTTTAAATAGTCTCAGTCTAGGGCAGTCTTCTAGGCAGGCCATCTAAACTTTCTAGAAATTCGCTTGTTCCCAAAAACTCCAAACTCGAGAAACACACTGCATTTCCTTGATTATTACTTTTTCACATTCAGTATTCTTGAAATCAAGGTAGATGACTTTGTCGGTATGTGCATTGCATGCAACAGTTGGGTTTTTATTATTTTTTTTATTTCCTCAGGTTGGGGACACACTAAATATGAGTGAATCAGTGGAACACTATTAGGTTTGATATTTAGGATATTGTAGAAATCAGAAAGATGTCCAGTTTGATTTTGACGGGGACATCCAACTCCTTTCTAAAGAGATTACTAACCACCACTGAGTCATCTCTGATGCTGGTTTAAAAGCAGCCATTCAGGGTTACAGAGGCAGTGCAGGGCTTCAGGCGCTGGACTAGCATGTGGCTGGCCGTGGTTTGATATCTGACACCACATGTTCTCCCCAGCACCACCGGGATCAATCCCTGGTCATTCCTTTGTGTGGCCCAAGCCCCTTATGGGCCCCACCCCCCAGCAACTATTTCTGGCCTGTTGATTCAGGAATTGCCACTCATTGGATTATGAGGATTTGTGGAAATATTCTCCACCAATGATTCTATTAAAATTTTTTTCTAACCTGGAAAAATAGGTCATATCATTTCCTTGGAGACCACAGGTTCTGACTCCTGGTTCGAAAAGCCACAGTTTTAAGAGCGTGAGCAAGCATATTCCTGACTAAACAGAAATACTCACTGCTACATCTGTTTGTTAAGGGACTGACGTTATCTTGGGGATAGAGAAATCAAGCCTTGTTCTTTAGTTTCTTTAAACAACAAACTGCAGTGTTTGTGTAAAGTCCACCCTATGTCCTCTTTGTGAAAGTCTTCTCGGGAGCCTTGATTCTCCACTTTGTGTAACTTGTTTTTATCTTTATTTGGGGGAGCTTGGGGGCCACCCCTGGCAGTGCCCAGTGCCAGGGATGGCAGAACCCCAGGATCAGCCAAACCCTTGTACTATCTGGTTCAGTGTTAATTGCTATTCAACAGCAAAAGTGGCTGTATTATACCTGATATCTTTTAGGATCTTCTTTCTTAAAATATAATGATCGGCAGCTTTCCTTTATGATTGAAGGGGTATCCCTCTAAAAGCCTGTGCAAACATTGGGAGCCAGGGGCATTGGCTTGACTGTCACCTGGCAGGGGGACTGAAAAGCCACTGGAGCATCTTGAAACGAATGAGTACTGGACTTGGTACTTCTGCCATCTCTACCCATATGCATTCTTTTCATCTAGGCAGTTTGAACCTAGTACTTGCCGGTAAGTTTCTGTGGGATTGTTTTATTGAATAATGAGCAGAGTTTACCCTCCTGCACTGCTGACTGGGTTGGGAATCAGCCCATTTTTGGAAAAACGGATCTCTGTGATATTAATTATTAGATTTTTTTTTCTCCAAAAGAGTTTTTCTAATGGGTATATCCCTTGGTAATATGGGGACATCTTTTGATTTTTCCTGTGAATCGTCCTCCCGAAGGAGATCAGTGTGCTCTTTAATTTTCAAAAAAATCTTAAGTGCTCAGGGTATTCTACATTTTCATATCTTTACATTTTGCTTGCTTATATTTATAGGTCTAAGTATTCCCATCAATATGTGCATGTAGGTATAGTAAAAGTAGATTAGCTGCACTAAAATGAATTTAATAGTTACTGTTTGTTCTTATTTAACATTCAGATCTTATATTTGAGTCGTGGATTGGCCCAAACACATTATGTGGACAGAATCCATGATGAAGGAATACCTCTACTTAAATATTATTTAAATGTTACCGTGTGTTCATTTTTATTATCCCTTTGCTCCCAACTCTTAAAAGTTAAAGGAACAGATCTTTGTTTATGATCGTGCTTTTAAGTCTTTGTTTTCCTTCCTCTCCGTTTTGTCTCCTCACTAAGACAATGTGGATGATGGTGCAGATGACTTGAAAGAAGGCAGTAGAGACAATCCTGAACCTCTAAAGTGCAAACAAGTGTGGCCGAAAGGGAGCAAGCGGGGCCTCTCCAAGTGGAGGTCCAACAAAGAGAGGAAGACCGGATTCAAACTGAACTTATACACGCCCCCAGAGACCCCCATGGAGCCCGACGAGCAGGCAGCAGCGGAGGAGCAGAAGGAGGGTCCCGAAGCCCCCAGCAGCCCCGCCCCCAGCAGGAGCGAGGAGGCGCAGGAAGCCCCGGAGCCCCAGCCCCCTCTGGAGACGAGGAAGGAGGACACACACGTGCCCGGCAGCCCAGAGCAGTCACCGGGGGACAAAGCCGACAGTGAACTTCCCAAACCAGAGGAGGAGGAGGAGGAGGAGGAAGAGGAGGAAGAGGAGGAGGAGGAGGAAGAGGAGGAGGAGGAGGAAGAGGAGGAGGAGGGCACTGTGGAGAAAGACCCAGATGGTACTAAACATCAGGAGAAGGAGGAGCCGGAGGCCTGCCTGGACAAAGACGACCCTGTGCATCCGGAGGACCATGAAGAGGAGGAGGAGGAGGAGGAGGAGCCATCGCACAATGAGGGCCACGACGCAGACGATGAGGACGACAGTCACATGGAGTCTGCCAAAGCAGAGAAGGACTTAAGCCCCAGAGAAGCCTTGAAGGACGCGCTGGAAAACCACACGGCTTTTTTAGATCTTAGTGTCCAGCCGACCCATCCCAGCCCGGAGGTCCTCATGGACTGTGGTGTGGACCTTGCTGCATCATGTAACATGGAACCGAAGGAGCTCGCTGGAGACACTGAAACTGCCCCTGAGTCGGACGAGGAGGCCCCGGAAGAACAGGCACAGAAGCAGGACCAAAAGAACAGAGACGAAATCTATCCCGAGCTGAAGGAAGGCAGCACGGCCACCATGGAAATCGACTCCGAGACGGTCCAGGCAGTTCAGTCTCTGACCCAGGAGAACAGTGAACAGGACGACACCTTTCAGGACTGTGCCGAGACTCGAGAAGCCTGCAGAAGCCTCCAGAACTACAGTACCCACACAGACCAAAGCCCACAGATGGCCGCCACGCTGGACGACTGCCAGCAGTCAGACCACAGCAGCCCCGTTTCCTCCGTGCATTCCCACCCCGGCCAGTCGGTCCGTTCCGTCAGCAGCCCCAGCGTCCCCGCCCTGGAAAACAGCTACGCCCAAATCAGCCCCGATCAAAGTGCCATCTCCGTGCCGTCCCTGCAGAACATGGAGACCAGCCCGATGATGGACGTGCCGTCCGTGTCCGATCATTCCCAGCAAGTGGTCGACAGCGGGTTCAGCGACCTGGGCAGCATCGAGAGCACAACCGAGAACTACGAGAACCCCAGCAGCTACGACTCCACGATGGGGGGCAGCATCTGCGGCAACGGCTCCTCGCAGAACAGCTGCTCGTACGGCAGCCTCACGTCCAGCAGCCTGACCCAGAGCAGCTGCGCCGTCACCCAGCAGATGTCCAGCATGAGCGGGAGCTGCAGCATGCTGCCGCAGGCCAGCATCAGCTCCCCGCCCACCTGCAGCGTCAAGTCTCCGCAGGGCTGCGTGGTGGAGAGGCCGCCCAGCAGCAGCCAGCAGCTGGCCCCCTGCAGCATGGCCGCCAACTTCACCCCGCCCATGCAGCTGGCGGACATCCCCGAGAGCGGCAGCGCCAACCTCGGCCTGTACGAGCGCATGGGTCAGAGTGATTTTGGGGCTGGGCATTACCCGCAGCCGTCAGCCACGTTCAGCCTTGCCAAACTACAGCAGTTAACTAACACACTGATTGATCATTCATTGCCTTACAGCCATTCCGCTGCTGTAACTTCCTATGCAAACAGTGCCTCTTTGTCCACACCGTTAAGTAACACAGGGCTTGTTCAGCTTTCTCAGTCTCCGCACTCCGTTCCGGGGGGACCCCAAGCACAAGCGACCATGACCCCACCCCCCAACCTGACTCCTCCTCCCATGAATCTGCCGCCACCTCTGCTGCAGCGGAACATGGCTGCCTCCAATCTTGGCATCGCCCACAGCCAAAGACTGCAGACCCAGATCGCCAGCAAAGGCCACGTCTCCATGAGAACCAAATCGGCGTCTCTGTCACCAGCCGCTGCCAGCCACCAGTCGCAGATCTACGGGCGCTCCCAGACTGTAGCCATGCAGGGCCCCACTCGGACTTTAACCATGCAGAGAGGCATGAACATGAGCGTGAACCTGATGCCAGCCCCTGCCTACAATGTCAACTCGGTGAACATGAACATGAACACTCTCAACGCCATGAATGGGTACAGCATGTCCCAGCCGATGATGAACAGCGGCTACCACGGCAACCACGGCTACATGAACCAAACGCCCCAGTACCCTATGCAGATGCAGATGGGCATGATGGGCACCCAGCCATATGCCCAGCAGCCAATGCAGACCCCGCCCCACGGCAACATGATGTACACAGCGCCTGGCCACCACGGCTACATGAACACAGGCATGTCGAAACAGTCTCTCAATGGGTCCTACATGAGGAGGTAGGCAGCGCAGGCCTCCCGGGCCTCACTTTCAGATTGACCCGCACAAATACCTTCGAAGAGTACGATTTCAAAACCAGCAATTGGTGTGAATGCAAAAACATTGTTGGCACCATTTATTTAAAAAAAAAAAAAAAGAAAAGAAAAAAAAAGCTGTATGCAGCAGAAAGCCTTATACAAGTTGTTTTTTTTTTCTTTCCCTTTTTTTTTCTTTTTTTTTTTCTTTTGTATCTTTGTTTCTGTTACTTTTCTTTGAGATTCTCTGCAAAGGAAGGCCTCTCTGGACTACAGTGTGGGGGCAGCCACTTAGCCTGCAGCCCCCGTTAAACAATGTGGATATCAAGCCCCGCCCTCCCCAGATTCTCTGTTTTACTATTGAACCTTTTGTTTTCTTCCTGTCCACTCCATGTAAATGCCTTTAGCATTTCAGTTATTGTATATTTTGTTTAAGGTGACACTTCCGCATGCCGCTAATGTCTTTGTTAGTGACAGTGCATTTTGTAGTACTGTACAAGTGTTGTGCTAACAGTAAGCCATTTCTTAAGTTTTTTGCCTTGATTAGGGTACCCTAATTTGAGGGTTTAAAAAAAAAACTATATTTTTGTTAATTATAAAACTGTAAAGAGCTATAAAAGCTATTCCCATTTGGTTAGTCAAAAGGGTTTTATTGCTAAATGTTTGGTGTAAAGTTGAGACCCTTTTCCTTTTTTGGTGACAGATTTCTTTGGGGAAAAAAAGGCAGCTTTCTGTTTTATAAATGCAGACTTCTGTTTATTGAATGAAGCATATCTCAGTGTTTATCTGTCAGGTTTTGAAACATTTCATATATGTCCAAATACTTGGCAGGATTTAAAAAAATAGTGAATTTGGTGTAAAGTTGCTATTTTATGGAAATGCCTCTAACTTTACATTTTCATTCCATCTGTAGATTTTTCTATCTTTATAAAATATTGGAGTTATTTTTTAAGGAAAAATAGAGAAGTAGCTTGTGAATAGCTTAAACTAAGCTTACAAATCGCATGTACAAAAGCAAAAGTTATTTGTGTCTGTTTATATTGCTTCCTTTTTTGTAGCCTTTGTACCTGTACAGGGTGACTGTAAGGGCCGAGCAGGGGAGGCGGAATCCTTGTATAAAATAGGAGCCAGCGACACTCTTGTATTTATCTGTTCTCTTTTTAGTCAGTCACTTAAAAAAACAAAAAACAAACAAAAAAAAAACAAAAAAAAGCTGTACATTTTAACATAAAATAAATTATGATGAGCCATTTTTAGCCTCTCGTGTCCTGTCATATTATGATTGATAGAGAATGACCAATTGAACTGTATCATGTGTCACATCTCAGAACACAAACACATTTTGGGAAAATAAATTATTTAGTGTAAATTGGAGCTATGAGATTTTCTTGTTTTGACTTTGGGGGAGGGGTTGGCAATAAGTAAGAGTAATATCTAATAAAACCATCACATATACCAAATACCTATTTAATAAATTAATTTATAATGGATTTTAATGCTTTTCATGAAAGTTTATTTTATGCGAGTGCATACCTTCTGTATGCCAATCATTGTCTTTAAAAATAAAGTGATTTTGTTTTTTTCTTTTTGACTTTGATCTTCATTTGCAAAGGGATCCCGCACAAATACCCAGCTGCCTCGTTTGTATGGTCTGTATAAATACCCCTCGGGGCTTAGTATAGTGTCAGCAAACTTTGTCTTTCTAAAAATTAACACCCAAAAAATACAACCAGTTTGGGACTGTATGTTGGAAAAGCCATTTTCTTTAAAAAGTGTGAACGTTTTCCTCTGTTGTGAATGAGTGGTTGTATGTTTTCCTTAGAGCCCCTAGTTTATATAAAAAAAAAAAAATTGGTGTTTACAAACATTATTTTCTGGCACTCAGAGAAAGTTGTGTGTGACTGTTCGAATATGTGATTATTTAACTAACAAGCCTACCAGTGTTTAACTTGGCGCCCAGGTGAGATCCACCCATCAGCTTCCCCGCGCTCGGAGCACAGGCTGTTCAGGCAGAGCTGGAGCTCAACGCCCCCCCAGGGTGACCCTGAGCCCCAACACTAAGCCAGGGTGGCCCCCAGCACCACCAGGTATGCCCTTCCCCCGAGGAAAAGAAGAAAGTCCCTACCCATCAGCACTCACATGAAGCCAACCACTCCTTGAACATGTCCACTAGATCAACAATAATTCAAAAGTAAACTGTGTTACAGATCACAACCACAAATCTTACAGTGTCCTCACCCCAACTGGAAAGGCAAAGGTAGGTGCCTACACCTGGAGGAGGCCCAGGGGCAGGGGGGACCCATGCCTTGTGCTGGGTCACTCTTATTTTTCTCTCTTCCTCACAACTGACCGGTCCAGCTTAGGGGTGGGATCCATTGGTCCCCGCCTTCCGCAACAGCAGCCAGCAGGACTGTGCCTGCCGGCAGGAGAGGAATCCAAAACCCACTGAACCGCATTCACTGCTCTAGAGCTGCCCAGGGGCCCCCACAAGGCTCCTAGCCTGGGGAAAGGAATTGGGGGGCGGGGGCTCAGCAAGCGTAAGCCTACACACACTTGCCCTCGCCTCTTGCGTGAAGGAAGAAGGAATCTCCCTTGGCAGCTAAGACTACCGTTGTGTGTCCCTTCTGCCCGTGGCTTCCTCTCCTACCCTATGGCCAGGGACCCTTTGTGCAGGTCTCAGCACCTTCTGGCAAAAATAGCAGGTGTAAGGGAGAGAGCCACTCCAAAGCAGCCTGGCCCAGCCCCCCCCCCCCACCCCCCACTAAAAGCCGTTCAGGCCCCAGCATGACACCAAGGAGCCTGGCAGATGTGAGCCTGTGTGTTCCGGCCAGCGATACAGCCCACCATCAAGCCATGGCTTAAAAACCCTTGCAGGGCTGGAACCCAGAGGCAGAGCATAAACTCTGCACCCTGCGTTGGATCCCTGTCGCCAAAAACAAAAGCCCGTGGGTCTCTGTTGGTTTTTTGTTTGTTTGTTTTGTTTTTTGCCATGCTGGAGCTTGAACCCAGAGCCTTGCACATTCAAGATAGAGGCAGTACCACTGAGCCATGCCCTGGCCCCAACACATTCATCTGTGAGCCACTAGGTTGCTAACCTGATATGCACCCTGGTGTGATGGTCCTGACCTTCCTTGTTGAGAAATAATGGCCCCCAGTGTTGTCCCACAGATCTTTCACAAACGCTCCCCAGGGGCACCCCCGCACCCCACCTGCACGGGGAAATGGGGCGCTTGTCTCTAAATTTACAGATGTGGAGACTGAGGCTCAAGGGAGCTAACCTGAATTGCCTACACACTCCCAACTCAACTCTGGGAGTTAAACAAACCCAGGTCTTTGCAAATTTTTTTTCCTGAACACTTCACTCTGAAAAGGCCGGGTCTTGACACCTCTGGTTTAAAGACAGCTGATGAGTAAGATTGGCGAACTCCGTGCTGTGAGCAAGCGCTGGCCTACAAAGCTAACACTTGCCAGGAGGGATGGACCTGTACCAGGGTCACCGGTACCGCTCCCGCCCCCACCCAGGCCCGGCCTTCGACATCACAGTCTCCCCTAATTGTTAATGTGTATGGGAGTTCTTTCTAGATTCAAGGCCAGATGACAGGCCATAGAGGGAAGGGGGGGTGGGGGTGTCTCCAGATTCAGAGCAACCCCACCAGGGTAAATGTAACCCAGGAAACCAAACTGATGCCTGGTCTGCGTGTCGGTTCGCCAGGGTCATTCCCAAATAGTCTCTGGCACCAACCCTGGTGTTCACGGTCCAGCCCACCTTCCTCGTTCCTGTCCAGGTTTCGGCAACCTCCGAATGGGTGTCATCCCCTTCCTCCACAACCCACAGCCCACTCTCCATTCTCTAATCGGGGGTTTGTCTCTGCGAGTGTTCTTAAGCAGATTCGACCGTTTCCCTGCGTGAAATCCTGGATAGTCTTTCTCTGCATTTAGTCTCCAGTCCCAGTGTCCTGCCTTCCTCGACGCAAGTGCCCACTTCCCTGCTGGGCTCTGCTCCATCCACATGCCGCTCAGGCTATTTCCTCAAAAGCCACCTCACACTTCCTCTGTGCTGTTCCTCAGCCTCAAGTGTCCCCTCGCCACTGGGCAGTGACCGCCATCAAATCTGTCCCCGGCTCCTCTGAGGCCGTCAGCCAGTAGAAAGGGCTAGCCACTCCACCCTTCCACCCCTGAGCACAGCACGCCTTCCAGCCCGACTTCCCTGCCCCGCTTCCTCGGAGGGACACAGTATTCCCTGACAACTGGGTATTCCACTTCTTGAGGTTTGAAGCACTTGTGCAGAAATGCCTACTCCGGGGGTAGGGGTGAAGCTCCCAGCGTGAGGCCCCGGGCCTGTGTGCCCTACACTGGGGCAGGGGACACTTCTGACCCCCAGCCCCCCAAGAGTCACGTGAGAGAGACCAAGTGCCCCCCCCAGGAAGGTGTGGCCTCCATCTCAGCAGCCTAGGAGAGGAGGCAGGACCCTTCCCCTCGAGCAGCCAGCGAGCAGCGGCCCCTTAGCTCAGCCCTGCCCACCGGCCACCTCCCTGCAGGCCTGCTGCTGCTGTGTCCCCCTCAGAAGGGAAAGTGACATCATCCCTTGTCTAGGTCACACTGAGTGGCCTCCCAGGGAGCTTGCAAACACCCCCGCGGTTCTTGCTGGAAGCAGAGTGAAAGTCGTGTCCTGGGCTCGCTCCCTCCCACCACCACCACAGTCTGGCCCGGTGAGCTCTGGCTAAGATGGGAGGCAGGTGAGGGCAGGCCCTCAGAAGCCCCTCTCAGTGCCCTGCAGGAGGACCCCAGAGGGAGCTGGGGATCCACCGCAAAGCTGCAGACTCTCCTGCCCCCAAAGCCTCCCAGGGAAACTGCCCTCCGTTGATAAAGTACAGTCACAGATTCTGGTTGATTCATATATATATGTATATGTGAGACTACGACTCCGGCCAGGTTGAATGGTAAGTGCAGCACGATGCCTACATGTCTGTTAAAATGTTTTGCTGTTCCATCTTACCAAAAGGGCATCAAAGCAGGCACGGTGTACCAGCGTGTGCGGGTCTGTCAGTGATTCTTCTGGGGGCCAAGCACTGGGCTCGGAATCCTCCTGTCCACGAGTACGCGCCCATGAGTTCAAGATGGACCGGAAGGAGCTTTGATTCCATCCCCCGTCTCGGCATCACACTCAGGGCCAGAGCGGCCTGGGCCTCAGGCGGGATCCCAGTGTCCTGGCGGGCCCGGGGTGCCCCATGGCCCCTACTCGCTGCCGCCCCGCGCCTGCCGCCTCTGCTGCACCAGCTGCAGGTCCAGCTCCCGGAGCTGCTTCAGGAAGCCCCGGTTGGGGAGGACGCAGCGGTTCTTGGCCACCTGCTGGATGGCGTCCACCAGCGTCATGTTCCTGTGGATCATCAGGTAGGCCAGGACCAGCGTCGCTGAGCGGCTGCGGCCCATTGCACAGTGAACCAGGATCTTATCTAAAATGCAGAGGGGAGAAGAGGCAGTGAGCCCCCAGCAGAGAGCACGCGCTCCACCCGGACCCCCACAGCACCAAAGCCAAGAGGCAACAGCCCTAAAGACGGTCCTGGATGGGGGGCGGGGGAATATCCACCAGTCACTGCTGGTTACCCCTAACACTCTGTGTGGTGCCCCCAGGAGTACGTCCAGGGCATTCAGATGCTTCCCAGAGCATCAGGGTTGCAGGGAGGGCTGAGTTGCGAGCTCACTTTTACTCACTTTTGCGAGTCGCTGGCCCGTGAAATACTGTATTTAGTTAAAAGAACAAAAGAAAGGGCAGAGAGTGGAGGATGGGAGGAAGTACATCCTGGTAAATCAAATTGGTGACTCTGTCTCAGTACCTAAGAGTTTTCTCAGTGAGCAACGTGAGCCTGTCATGTCAAAGAAAATGACCGGGATTCGTTGCCAGTGATAACATGTAAGCTTCTGAGCAAAAATTCAAATGTTGGGAAATCCGCATCTATTACTGTCAGGATCATAGCTTCCCAACACTTCTGAGATCTTTCTCCTAAGATCCATGTGGCATCAACAATTTTTTTTAAGTGCCAATATTTGAAAGCATTATAAACCAGTATTTTCCAAATGACTGATGTGGGATATTACAAAATCCTGCATGGATAAATGATCTGTTCCAAGTGCAAGACAGACCAAGGGATTTTCATTTAACGGACAGATTAATGGATTTGTGCCTTCAAATTCCACATCACAACTAGCCCTTAAGAAGTTGTTACTTGTCAAGTTTTGATGTCACAGCAAAGAAGAATCGCTCCGTTTATCTGAGGAAGCTATTAATTTTCTTTCTCCATCTATGTATCTGACTTGGCTAGATCTTCTTCAGATCTGGAGGCGCAGAGGCCAGCCTGAGTCTTCCAACTGGACCCATCTGCTGGCGTTCAAGGGCACATCCACATGCTGCATCTCACTGCATCCTGATACGACAGTGAAGGCTTCCTCCACACCATCCCTGCTTTACAGTGGGGTGACGAGCACAGACAGAAGAGGCCACCCCAGAGCTGGTGCCATCACTAGAAACCATTCAAAGCAACATGACACTGAGGTCTCGCTGCATGCTAACCACCAGGCTGGGGACCGTGAGATTAATCTCTCTGGCCTTTCCCCCAAACCTCTCCCAGTGGTGTATAGCCCGATGGGACAGCTCAGGTGGCGGGTCTCTGTTCCTGAGGCCTGAAAGGCCTGCAAGAACTAGCGAGAAGACACTCAGGGCTGTCACTGGGTTTAAGCAGCATGGGCAGACTCCGAGCAGAGCTTGGCCAAGAAGGCTCCTGAGCTGGATGTGGGGGGATTCGGTATGGTGGGAGACAATTCCTGAAATTCCTGCACTTCCGTGATGGGTGTGGTGTAACAATGATTTTGGAAAGGTGTGAAAAAGCACCCCCCCGAAGTTTACAGTGATATCAACCAAAGCCACCTCAGCAAAAGGCGGGAAGTACACCTGGGAAGGGCTCCCTAGCGCCCCAGCCGTCACCTTCCAAGGGGACCATGCCCAGGACAGTGGTCAGGGCGGAAAGCAGGGCGAAAAGCACCTCCCAGCTGCTTACCCACTGAGCCTGGCCCCAGGTGCCTCCCCGCCCCACCCCACACAACTTTCCGGCTCCCAGAGTGGAATGTCTACCTCTGGCGTTCTAATCCCCAAAGACTGTTCCAGAGGCTGCCTGGCCTCTCGCCAGCTCTGTTGATAACTAAAGCGTTTCTTCCTCTCCTGGCAAAAAGGGTAATTCTTTCTGTCATGACTAAATACTTGAAACAGACGAAAGCTGTAATTCATTAAATCTTTTGGGAGCCTGAAGTCTGTGCAGAGGGGATACAGAGAAAGAGGGCGAGGAGACGGGTGGGGGAGGGGCGGGCTCTAGCCGGCGCCCTGTGAGCTGAAATTTTGGTTTCCTGTCTATTTTTTGGTGGGGCGCCTCCCAAGTAGTGCTCAGGCAGCACCCACCCCACCCCCGGCCCCCGCTCTGGAATTCTCAGCCTACTCAGCCAACAGTTCAAGGATGCGGCACTATGTGGGCCCTGTGGTGCCAGGAAGTCCCCAGCTCACCCCCAGGGGTGCTCACGGGCTCCCAGGACTGCACCCGCCAATGCACAGGAGGAATACGCAGTGCTGAAGATTGATCTGGTGTGGGCCGTGTGCAAGGCAAGCCCACCTGGAGCCCTGCACTTCCTCTCTGGCTCCTACACTGATTTTACAGCACCAGCAGCTTTATTCTCACACAAATGCTGTCAGTCATGGAGCTTGGCGCATGGCATCGCCTGTCCTCTGATACCAGGGCACGACTCTTCTTTGCCTGCTGCTTGGTACCATCCCACCAGGCCCAGCACTGCAGGATGAGGAAGAGAATCTGGACGAGCAGACAGGCAGGCTGCAGTTAGCCTGCTCCCAACATGCCCACACTAAGGACAGCAAAAGACTCACAGTCAGGCTTAGGCCCTGCCTGAAGGGGGTGCTGCCAGCACTGGCACTTTCTAGATCAATGGCTTTGGAACAAATCACGTTTTTTTTCCCTGCACTGGTGGAGGGATGGTTGTTCGATCATTGTATGACTGAAACTCAAACATGAAAGCTTTGTGACTATCGTATGGTGATTCAATAAAAAAATTTCCTAAGGTAAAATTTTTTGGGGAAAAAAACAATCAAATTTTGTTTTGAGTCACACCCAGTGATGCTCACGGATTACTCCCAGCTCTGCACTCAGCACTATATGGGATGCTGGGGACTGAACCCAGGTCCAGCACGTGCAAGGCAAGCGACCTGCCTCTTGTATCATCACTACAGCCCTGGAAATCTTTTATGTGACACACACACACCGCTGGTCCCCACCTGGGAAACACAGCATAAAATTCACTACTACATGCAGTAGAGAGAATCCACTCCGTCTCACGCAGGCCGTGGTTGCAACGCAGAGAACTGGCTCATCCGAGCCTCTCAGCAAGGAGCTGCAAGATGCTGGGACCCAAATCCTGAGCCAGATGGGGAGCAAAACGTTACCGAAAAACAAGTTTCACACAGTGGCTCTGTCATGATGACACGGGCTTTTTTCTTCAGCAAGGCTGTCTGATACTGCCCATTGTTTGCTACTTTTTTTTTTTTTTTACTTTTTGGGTCACACCTGGCAATGCACAGGGGTTCCTCCTGGCTCTGCACTCAGGAATCACCCCTGGCGGTGCTCAGGGAACTATATGGGATGCTGGGGATTGAACCCGGGTTGGTCTCGTGCAAGGCAAACGCCCTACCCGCTGTGCTATTGCTCCAGCCCCTCTACTCACTTTTTTTAAAGGCAGGGAGGGAGGCCGGAGAGGGTATATCAGGGAAGAAGGAGCTTGCCTTGTATGTGTCTGCCCCAGGTTCTGACCCACCACCACAAAAGGCCCCGCACAGCCAACCAGGAGTGATCCCTGAGCACAGAGCCAGGAGTAAACCCTGAGCACTCTGGGTGTGGCCAAAATATACAAAATCCAAAGCAAACAACAAAAAGCTGGAGGCTGGATACTGCACACTGATTTTAGGGCATGATGTTTGAAAAACATCTAGCTCAATTCAGTAACTCCACTTGAATTCCCCCAAACTCGGGGACCTGTTCCTCAATGTTTTGTCTTCACTGGTGACAGAAGGCAGGCCTCTGAAGCACTCTGGGACACTATGGACAATCCTAGTCCCCATCTTTTCCCTCCCACTCCTATCCTGACCAGGTGTACATTCTTTAAACAACCTCCTGTCTTGATTTTGGGGGATCTCCTCTGCCTGCCCCCCGCTACCTTGGGTCCTGCTTTTCTCGGAAGCATGTAAAGACATATCTCTCCCCAACAGTTCAGTGCTTAAGGAAATCCCCAGGAAAAGTGTGTTGTGAATTTTGAACTGGGGTGCAGGTCAGTACCTGCTACCCTGGGAAGGAAGACTCTTAAACAATCTGAAAAAACATAGGGTAGAACCAGCTTAGAAGCCCAAGAGAACAAACCTCTGCCCCAAGCAGACTTCACTTATTGGTTTATTAGCACCTCACTCAAAACAGATGTGAAGGCAGCTTCCAAAGCAAGCCATTTAAGAAAAAGCATGAACACAGGTTGGAGAGAGAGAGCAGAAGTAAGATGCTGGGCACCCTTAATGTGATCCCCAGAACATGGTCCACAAGCATCACCGGGTTCTGAGTACAGAACACAGAGCCAGAGGCTGCCCCTAAGCACTGTCAGTGTGGGTCAGAGAGAGAGAGAGAGAGATTGAGAGGCAGTGATAACAATATCTTCTCTTTGAAGTCTTATGATATTTGCCCTGCAGTTTCTTGGAAAATTTCATTCAATGAAAACCACATTGATTCCCCTCTGAGGATACACACCAGGAACTGTCCAGGTGACCCAAATGGGTCCCGCAGCAGTCTTTGTCAGCACTTCCTTCTTCTGATGAAGAATGAGGAGTTCGGTTGTTTCAGAGCTCGTAACCAGCTGAACTGCCTCACCTTCCCTGACATTCATGACCTCCTTTTCAGCAAAGCCACCAGCTGCTCAAAACTAGGGCAGAGGAGCCTTGGGTGCAGCTGAATGACAGAGAAAAATCCCGCTGGCCTCTCTGTGGCTCTGTGTCCCCGGCACATCTGGGCCTCCAGGACACTGGACTCCACGACTTCAAGGACTATTTAAGAATCACTGAGGGTGGTGGGGAATTGATCAGAGGTGGGTGTGCAGGTCCCCTGGGCTGGTTCCTGGCCTGAGAAATGACTCTCCCGCACCCTAGGGACCGCCTTTCAAAGACAGTGTGCCAGGTTGGCTCCATGGGCAGTGGTGGATGAAACTACCCCAAGAAGAGCAGGAAAAAGCGAGAGCAAAGAGGAGCCGCCCGGCCTTTTGTTCAGACAGTCCATCAACACCTCTTACATCAAGTATAATAGGAAACATACGCGAGGGCCTGGCTTGATGCCAGGTTGTGTGTTCCTGCCTTTCCAATGCACGAACAGACACAACCAGCACCCCCCACCCCACGGCCTGCAGGCTGAATGCACACCATCTCCAGGGTGCAGAGGCCGCAGGAGGGATGCCTCGGCTGAGCAAAGCAGCATTTGTGTTAGTCTATGACTTGGGGCACAGGTTGCAAATGGACAGCCCCTGGATTTCTTTTGTTTGCAGCATTTTAAAGAAATTTTCTGTTTAATGCCACCACTTCCACATGGCGATTTTACAGTTACGTCCAGACCAGTGGCTTTTCCTGAGAGGTTGTTCGGATCAGCCACGTGGGTCATGATCCTCAAAAGACTAATAGTGGCAGTTCCCCTAGGGAGGGGAGGCCCCTCACCACCTGGCCCCAGCACCCCTCAGAGGGCATCCCTCACCAGGCCTCTCCCTGGCTTCTGAGCCCCTGGAAGTCTTTCAATACGCACGTGGAAAGAGCACTGGGAATCCAATCCACCACCTTCTAGATCCGCCCTCTGACCCAGCCGCGCCAGCCTCTGCCTCTCCTCTGACTGGTGCCTCTGTTTTGCCCTCTTTTTTTTTTTTTGGCTTTTTGGGTCACACCCGGCGATGCACAGGGGTTACTCCTGGCTCTGCACTCAGGAATGACTCCTGGCGGTGCTCAGGGGACCATATGGGATGCTGGGAATCGAACCCGGGTCGGCCACGTGCAAGGCAAACGCCCTACCCGCCATGCTATTGCTCCAGCCCCCTGTTTTGCCCTCTTGCTCTTTTCTCTGCTATGAATTTTCAACCACCTGCTCAGGGGCCACTTGTTCCTTAGATGTTCAGTGATGTACCTAGGCTGAAACTTACGCTCATTCTCTTCTCAGCCAGCAGTGGGGCAGACTCTAAAATGGGGTGCCAGGAAGGGAAAACAAGCTGTCCCGTGAGGACACTGTAGAGTTCAAAGTTGGAATGTCTGTTTTCCCTCTGGGGGCTGGACACTTGACGAGGCGGAGATGGGGGGGGATGGGCTCCACGGTGCTCGACCCTGTATCAAGCACATCTGAGAGCCCGCTGCATGGGTGCTTTGTGTGGGTGACAGAGAGGTTCATCAGAACCTTTCAAGGTAAATATTCCCATCACCAGATGAAAGAAACCAGGCTCCAAGCAGCTACACCATTAGTAAATTATGTGTGAATCTGAACCCAGGCCTGTCTTTTCCAAAGCCCACCAAACCCTCAGCTCTTAGGGTGAAGAAAGAGTCACGGCAAAGTGCATGCATTAAACAGAAACTGAAGGATTGAGTTGTTGTAGTTTTGGATTTTTTTTTCATGTCAAATATGTTTCCCATTAACTTGAAATGCCCTCGGGTGAATTTGACCTCATGGTGATGAGTCAGAGTCCAGTTGCTTTTTGATCCTGCCTGGAAACCCAGAACGTACAGAACATAAAAGATTGGCCATAAACAGACCCATAAAGAGTGACTTTGAAAGGAGGCGTCACCCCGTCCCAATGCAAACTTCAGTGCCATGGATTTTTTTCATTGGACACTGCTCTGCAGAAACAAACTGTTGCTCTCTGGCCAGGGGTGGGGCCATCTGAAGCTGGATGGTTCAGTGGGCAAGATCCAGCAACAGGAGGGCTGAGTGCCGGTGGGTCTCATAGTCCCAACTCCGTGTGGTGGGTGTCATAGTCCCAACTCCGTGCACCAAGAAAGGCCTCCTGTAACTGGATCCCCTGAATTATGAGAGAGCCCCATAAACAGGAACGCCACATGGGGCTGAAGTCAGAGCACTAATTAGGGAGATGATGTCCCTCTGGCCTCTAGGGAACGCAGCTCAAAGGCGCCTACAGGCCTACAGCAAGACCTGCGGATTGTCTTACCCTGCTGCATTCCTACACTTCGCTCCAAAATAGCCTTGGAGCCTCTCCCGGTTAAGACAGTTGAAACTGCATTTTCAGCACAGGCTCTAGCAGCAGCGCGATGAGAAACGTTAGGAAACTGGGGCACTAGGCGGTACAAAACAGACTGGCATTCTGCTGGCGTTTGGAAGGACGCAGTCACCAACTTTCTACAAGTTTCCACTCGGAAGGAGAGCAGGCCCGGGGAAAGTGGGGCTGCAGGCAGGAGGCTCTGAAATCCCTCCCCAGCTCCCCACTCGAACCCACGAAGGTCCGTGGGGCTTTTTGGTCAGATGCGCTTGCTCCTGCAGGGCTGAGGCCTGGCAGTGTCTAGCCTTCCTGTCGTTCTTTCGCAAAGCGAGATTCAGGGCACGGCCCTCTCCTGCGAAGCCCACCAACAACGGGACAAAGGACGTCTGGGTCCACTGCACAAACCCCCGGCCCGGCTGCGGGCCTGCGAACGTCGGGGGTGGGGGGGTGGGGGGCGTGGAGCTGGGCCGGGTGGGCCGGGTGGGGGGGGAGGGAGGGAGGTGGCGGCCGTGTCCAGGCTCTTACTGCAGTCGGAGCGCAGCGCCGCCTCGATGAACGCGGCCGCCGAGTAGAAGAAGACGCTGAGGTCGAAGGTCGGCAGATCGTCGGCCTCCACGCCGTGGTACTCAATGGGCAGGTCTCGGTAGTAGTCGGGGCCAGTGTCCACGTTCCAGCGACCGTGCGCCGCGTTCAGCACGTGCGTGAAGCCCGCCTTCTGGAGCCCATAGCGGTCCAGCGCCGTCGCCCTGCCGAGGGAGAGGCCGTGGGCAGGGCCCGGCCAGGGTGCGGGGCATAGTGAGATCTGGGGCGGGGCATAGCGGGATCTGGGGCGGGGCATAATAGGACTGGGGCGGGGCATAGCAGGATCTGGGGCGGGGCATAGTGGGATCAGGGCGGGGCATAGTGAAACTGGGGCGGGGCATAGCGGGATCTGGGGCGGGGCATCGTGGGATTAGGGCGGGGCATCGTGGGACGGGGCGGGGCATAGTGGGATCAGGGCGGGGCATAGTGGGATCAGGGCGGGGCACAGTGGGATCAGGATGGGGCATAGTGGGACCGCGGCGGGGCATAGTGGAACTGGGGCGGGGCATAGCAGGATCTGGGGCGGGGCATAGTGGGATCAGGGCGGGGCATAGTGGATCTGGGGCGCGGCATGGGACTGTGGGGGCAGGGGCAGGGCTGGTGGGCGGGGCAGCAGGACATGGTGGGCGGGACGGGACTTGATGGAGTATGGGTGGGGCATCAAAATGTGGTGGGCGTGGGTGTGGCGGCAGGGGACGAGGCTGGTGGGCGTGGTAGGCGGGGGCATGATGGGGTGTGGGCAGGGAGGAGCAGGCATCAGGGTATGGGGGTGGGGCGTGGGACCCAAGAGTGCAGCAGGAGCTGGGGCCGCGGGCATTGCTGACAGGTGTCAGATGTTTAGTTCTGTTCAAGGTATGAGGGTGCAGACTAAGGCAGGAGCAGGAGGTGAGTTCACCCACCCCCATCCCTTTTTTTTCATGCACCAGATCTAGAAGGGGATTTGTCCCCTGAGGCCAGATGCCTTGAGAGGCCACCAGAACAACTTGTTTCTCTGGCCACCTTCTCAGAGTCTCGGAAACTGGCTTTCCTCTATACCCTTCAGGTGTCTATGAGGTTTGGAGGTCAGGGTGAACCCTGTTCCTAAAGGGTTTAAGACCAGTCTTTCATTGTGGGGCCTAGGGGTGGGATTGAGCAAAGTTCTTGTGCTGGCCTTCACAGCACTGGTGAAACGTTGTTTATTTGGGCAAAGCATTAGTTGCAGAAGAGTTATTTGCTCAATCTGTTACTTGAACAAATTTTCCCAAGTTCCCTGGAGCTAACAATGAAGTTACTTACTGGTTCACACACAGCCTTATGTTTTTAGCCAAGAATGTCCAGGTATTAGAGTCAAGGCCTGTCGAAGTAGGTGGGTGGCGTTGGACCATGGACAGAGCTAGGCCCTCAGAGGGAGCAGGCGTTTTCTGCCTGGATCTTGGGGAACAGACTTTGAGCCTGCCTTACAAAAGGGAGTCAAGGACACATCAAGCCAACAAAATAAAATGACCCACAGCTGAAGAAGCTAGGACCTACGAGATGAAAACCGGAGCTAATAAAAGCCTTTCAGGAAATGTTTGTCATGGTCTGTAATCAACTATTTATCCCCAAATAGTGATTTAGAATGTGCTCTGAACCAAGCACTATCCTAGATGCTGGTGATTTAGCAGTGAACAAGTTAGTCAAGATCCCTCAGGAAGATTAGATGCTAATGAGGAGAGCAAATAAGCAGCAATTGGATAAACAAGATAATTCGAGGTGAGGCAAGAGCTCAGCAAAATAACAGTGGCTTCAGGTAGGGAACTCAGGAATGCCTCTTCTGGGAGATGGTATTTAAGCTAAGACTCAGGGATGAGATGGAATTAGGCAGATGATTGGAAAGGAGTGTTTCATCCAGGATGAGAGAACTACAAATAACTATGAACAGAAGGGAGTCAGGCTGAGAGACCTACAAATATGAAGAACAGAAGGGAAGAATATGGCCACAGTCGCAAGAGTTTGGGTTTACTCAAGAATGGTGGAATGTCACAGTTCACAGAAGATTTTTCAGGAAGGGTGAAGATTGATGACAGTTTTATTTTTATTATTTTTATTTTTATTTTATTTTTTGCTTTTTGGGTTGCATCTAGTGATGCGCAGGAGTTACTCCTGGCTCTGCACTCAGGAATTATCCCTGGTGATGCTCAGGGGACCATATGGGATTCTGGGAATTGAACCCGGGTTGGCCGTGTGCAAGGCAAACGCCCTTCCCGCTGTGCTATTGCTCCAGCCCCTGATAATGGTTTTAAACATCAATGGGCTGATATGAGAAGGCACAAGTGAAGGAAAGAAGTCTGTTGGCTGCCTCAGTGGTGTAGCCAAGAAGACTTGGACTGGAGTGATGTCACAGCAGAACTGGCTGAAGAAATGGGGTGAGGGACAGGAAGGCAGGACTGGTTTGGCCAGAGTATTTATTGGCTATGAGGGGAGGGTAGAGAAGGGCTCCACAGCAATAGAGCAAGCTTTATTTGAGAGGTGATTAGATACCCTGACCCATCTTGGGGGATCAAGTAGAGCTATTGACAGTGTTTGAGGAAAGGTTTTCCCATGTGGCCTTTAGGACATCTTCCTCAACAGTGTTGTTTTTTCTTTAATTTTTTTTGTCACACCTGGCAATGCACAGGGGCTACTCCTGGCTCTGCACTCAGGAATTACTTTTGGTGGTGCTCAGGGAACCATATGGGGTGCTGGGAATCAAACTCGGGTCGGTCACGTGCAAAGCAAATGCCCTACCCGCTGTGCTATCACTCCTGCCCCAACAGTGTTAATACTTCCACAGCCTATGGAAAAAAGTGACAGGACTCTGAACCATAATAGTAAGTCATCAAAAGTGGCACTGCGCTGTAACTGAGGGCTCACTGCAAGGCCCTGGTAACAGATGTGGACAGAACTCACCATACGGCATCAGTGACAGGAAACCTGAACCAGAATCTTGCCATGGTCCTGGGTCAAGGGTTTGTGGCTGGTTTCATTTGTGGCTGATTTCCTGGGACTTTCTGTCTGCCCTGTGAGGAACCATAGTGGAGTCCAGAGCTTGGGAAAGAGTTACCTGAACACAAGCAGTGAGTGATCAGAAACATTTGTAAGCAGCCCGGTGGGACTGAGAGGGGGTGGTGCGGAGCTCCAGCCCTCAGTGCTGCCATCCTGATTATGGAACACCTTCTGCTTTCAATTTTTCTTCTAAAAGGTCTGTTTTTCATTTTTTTCTTCTTGTCTCGAAGTATGTATACAGCGAACATTACGCTTTGGGGACATAGGTCTGTGCTTAATTAGCATCTCCACTAATGCAGCCCTTCTTGCTGAGTGGCAATCAACCTCACTTTGAGGTTGAGCTCAGTGGAAAAATTAAAATGAACTATCCTTGACAGGAAGTTCCTATCCACCATAAAATCTGTGCTCTCTGAATTCAGCAGCTGACTGCTTGGAGAAACCAGGGACTAACCAGAGGACAACTAGAACTGACCAAGGACTAACCAATAACTAACTAGGACCAACTAGAGCTGACCAAGAAGTAACCAGGGACTGACCAAGAACTAATTAGGGACTAACTAGGACTAAGCAGGGAATGACCAAAGATACTAACTAGGACTAACTAGAACTGATCAAGGACAAACTGAACTAACTAGGATGGACAAAGTACTAAGCAGGGATTAACTAGAACTTTGATAATGCATGGGAGTTTATGACAATGCATGGGATAGGTAATAAAGCACAGGCTATGTAAAAATGCATGGCAGTGTATAATAATTCATGGGGTGGATAATAATGCATGGGATGAATAATGCATAGGGTTGTATGATAATACATGAGGTGAGTAATAATACATGGAAGTAGATAATAAAGCATGGGGTATATGATAATGCATGGGGGATGATAATGATGAGGATGGGAGATAACACATGAGGGATGATAATGCATGAGGGTGAGCAATAATGCTAGGGGTGGGTAATAATGCATAATGTGGGAAATGATGCATGGAGGAGGATGTTAATGGGGTAGGTGATAATGCATGGGGTATGTGAGAATGCACAGGGTGTGTAGTAATGCATAGGGGTATGTGTAATTATATGGGGTATATAAAAATTATGAGGGTTTGTAATTATACATGGGGTCTATGATAATGTACGGCAGTGTATAATAATACATGGAAGTGGGTGATAATACATGGGGGTGGGTGATAATACTAGTGTCTAATAATTCAAGGGACGTGTAATAATACACAGGGGTAGTTAATAGGCAGGGAGTATGAAATAATTCATAGGTGAAAATGCACAGGGGTGTGTAACAATACATGGAGATGTGAAATAACGCACTTCTGTTTGAGTGTGCGTGAATGTGTGTATAATAATGCTTGTGATTGTGTAAAAATGCACAGTGTGTGTGATAATGTGCAGGGTATGTGAAATAATGCACAGGTGTGTATAATTCACAAGGCTGTGAAATAATTCACGGATGTGTAATATTTACACAAGGATGTGTAATAAGTCATGAGGGTGGGTTATAAGTTGCAGGGACGTGAAATATTGCAAGGAGGAGTGTAATGATCCAAAGGGGTGTGAAATAATTCACAGAGGGTTGTAATAATTATGGAAGTATGATTCTCCCCTAGAGAAAGCCCATTACAAAAATGTTTTTCCCAATAAGCTAAGGTCCTCATCTTTAAAAGTCTAACCTGGATAGATTAAGATAGTTAGACATCTGGCCAAAGAATGTGTTCTTCTCTAAGATGATTACTGTCTCTAAACAATAAATATTACATGTGAAGGACAGCAGCTGGGGCTCTGTCTATGAAGCTGTTAGCCCCCTGACCCCATGCTTTTGCCTCTCTTAGTTTTGTCTCTTTTCTTACTCCTCAAGGATACCCTGATTCTGGCCTGTTCGCTGAGAGTCAATCCCTGGCAGCCTGAGGCCCCATCATTCAAGCACAGAGCTGCATAACAGGCCCTGGTGCTGGCATCAGGCTGCCCATAGCACAAAAGGGAAGAGATTTCTCCCTGATCACCGTCCGCCAAATCTTGCTCACAGAGGCTGCCCTGCCGAGAATTTGCAATCACTTTGACATTCTCCAGGATGTTTCTCCTCCTGCTAACTCCAGGAAAAAGAGAAAGAGAAAAACGATTTTGCTAAGCAAATGAAAGATGGGAACAAGATT